ATGTCTGATTAGAGTTAAGTGGTAACAGGATGCAAATATTGGAGTGCTTCTGAAAAACTAGATTTTGAGATGGCTTCTTTAATCTTTATGGAGATCGTTGGGGATGGTTAAATTGTCTACTAACCTTGAACTTTGGGTACTCTATTTTTCTTTCTTTCTTTCTTCTCTTCTTGATTTTTTTTTTTTTTTTTTTTTTCTCTCTTATATCTAAATTTTCTCCTAAAGTTTCATAGGTAAAGACATTGTTCTAGATTGCCAAATTCCATTTCCTTTTCAAAGGTTTCCCTTGAAATTTGATTTTATTGTAGGCCTGTTGATCCAGAACTGTTAACATTTTTGGTGTTGAAAAAGCTTATCTTTTGGCTGATGATGCAGGCAAAGGCTGCAATGCAAGCAGGATTGAGAAAAGGAAATGTGAGAGAAAGGTCTGCATTGGGCATGATAGGTATTTCTGCTCAGGAAAGTTAAAGAGGAGACGAAATGGCTAACAGCTCTGATTCTTCTAGGTAAATACAATTACAGATTTGTTCATTTATTTCTATATTGCAGAATTTTATTTATTATCAGAAAATAAAGAAGATAAAGGTTTTGGTTATTAGTCTCTCAAGCAAAACAATTCTATCCCAGAGATTCCCTTGAATATTTTGATGCTCAAAGAGCATTTCCAAGATCACGTCAAGCAAGCCATGATGACGAAAAGGCAAAGATAGCATCATCATCTGCACCACTGTCAATGTTGCTTATTCCTTCTTTAAAAGAGGTCCGCACAAAATGGTGTTATATTTTTAGTTTCACTTTCACCATGCTATTTAGTATGGAGATGATTTTGACATTTTTTTGCACTAAAAGCATCATTTGTTTCCGGACGAATGTATGAACCTGCTTCTACTCATGCTAGAGAAATCTATGGTATTCAATGCATAGAACTTAACATTGGTCTATATTCTTATCCATCCAGATTAGTATATTTTTATAGTAAGAGAGACTGCTCAATGTAATGATGGGAGTAAATATTAGCCAAGAATATTATTTGAAAGGGTCTCGACATCTCCAGTGTGGATCTAGCCTTGTACTGAGAGAGTGACATGTTACAGTAGCAAAAAGTGAGGGGAAGTCTGAAATAAGAATTGTAAAAGTTATTGTAATTGAAGTAATTGCCTGTGATCAACATGAAGTGGAACTATGCAAGTGTTCATGTTGTCATTTAGTTCAGATTAAGACTCAGTTTAGATGAACAGTGTTTCCATCCGTTTTATTTTTAACCTCATTTGCTAATGACCCCTAGGCATGCATCACTCTTTGTATCCTGTAACTCTTAATGGTTTCAGTATATCATGTTGTCATTGTAGGCCCTTGCTGATGATTCGGAAGGGTTAGTTGGGCGTGCAGTTACAAATTCTCTTGTGATATGAAGCGTAAAAACCCTGAATCTTGTGAAGCTTTTGTTCGCAAGTTGCTTGAGAGACTGGCAAG